AGGGGCTGTGACAAACTGTTTCGTCGGAGTTTCACCGACTCATCAGGAGGCTGAACCCTCAACAGTCTGCAGAATCCCCTCACTGGTTACACTGTCAATGATAATCTACCTTAACCAAAATCGAAGTAGACTATCACTCACCCACACCAGATGGAAAACTCTACAGACTGTCGGTTCACACCCAATCACAAGCCAGCAAAACATCCACGAAACAAAGAAAGGTATGTCATATATATACATTTGCCCCAGCGGGCAAGTGACCCCGGGTCACTCTGGTACCAGGGAACCAGGGAAGTGACCGCGCAGGATGGGAACAGGGTACCAGGGAACTCCGACCAGGAGACGAAATTACCGGGTCAGTAGGGTAGCATTGGGATGTTAGTCGAGGTACTGACAGGATAGGACAACGAGGTAACTGGGAGAGATAAGTACAATGATCGCGTTGTCTGAAGTCTTTTGGGTCTCACTGTTGGCGTACTCAATGATGAGCAACGGCGAAGTGAGTGGGTTGGAGGAAGGCAGGTGAGGTGTAAGGGAGACGAGAGGAGTGTCCCCCTGAAGAGACCGCGTGGCGGCGGTCGAAACCGGTCGGGGTGTCATACCCACCGGCGTGTGACTATTGTACTTGTGCATTATGTGCACGGATTTTGGTTGTGTAAACTTTGCTCTTGTACGTCTTGCTTTGCAACGATTGTGCTTGTGTGAATTACCTTCCATACTTCCCATATCATTACAAACCACTCTGGTAGCCTAGCTATAATTTTATTTGTTATCTTAAATTTCGTACGGAATTTCTCATGGAAAAAAAAAGAACTTTATTGTAAAAGTCGGGGCTCGGCATACCTTACAAAACATCTAAGCCTCCAAACGTACAAGGTGTCACCGGCCAGGTTCCTCAAGGCGACCGCTTATGAAAAAAGGAAGGAGTTTGAGGTGCACAGTGACTGTAGTTGAGGCAAAACAACTGGAAAGTCTAACAAAACTAATGCCTTCTAACACCTTTTAGCCTTTTTTTTTTTTTTTTTTTTTTTTTTTTTTTTTTTTTTTTTTAAGCACCTTCTACCCCGGCATCATACTAAAAGGGCTATAGCAAAAGCCACAAAGGTAACAGGTTATAATCTGAAATGACCCTGAGACAGAAGTTGTCGAGTGTTTTGTATTTTTCGACATGGCGTAGTTTTGTTTTAGAATTTTGGGATTTTTTCTTTTTTCTTGTTGGGACCTTCCCTGGTGCTTACACGGTCGGGCCGCCTAGGCAACGAAGTGATTTTTTTCTAAATGTATTTTTTAGAAAGATCATGACGAAATCTGCGGACCGTCAAAGTTTCAAAAATTTTGGAGTATTGTATTGGACGTGAAAAATCGCTGAAGTCGGGGTACTTTTTCCATTGGCCGACAAGTGATACAGCAACAAAAATGGAATATGGAATGAATTGGTGCGGTATTTATTTCAAAATCTCAACTATTGTTTCGAAAAAAAAATAATATTTTTAGTGGAAATTACACGACCAAATCTACAAGCCTGTTGATTTGCAAAGTTGGTGATTCATGAGCGCAAAAAATCACGGAAGTTGGGGTACTTTTTTTGTTGGCCCATACGTTGTAGAATGACAAAAATGAAAATTGCCACAAACGATTAACGGGGAGCTGAAAATTCAGAAATGAAAATTCTGAAATGAGAGTTTAGGCAGTCTGAAAATCTTGAATCGGCCTGAAATGGTGAAGGGGCCGAAGACCCTAAAAACCACATATTTAGGCAGGTTGTATCCTAAAGTGGTGAAGGGTCTCCTGAATTGGTGATGAAAAATACGACTGTTGTTAACCTTCTCTCGAAATTGCGACGAAATGACGCAACATTTATTTCACGGTCTACATAAAATATATATGTATATATCTGTGTAGCATCGTGTTCGGGTTCGGTGACCAAACTCGAACGTCCGTGACCGAACGCGAACGAGCGT